CCTGAGACACAAAAGTGCCTGTAGTTGATAAAACACCATTAAAGACATTACATTATGGTAATCATTTAGTATGGTATGGTAATCATAAAAGCACCATGTACCGTGACACTGCCATTGTATTGGCACAACTCCATAATAATAATAATACATATTTTGAAATGTGTTATATGAAAAGTCTTTAAGTTCACATTTCCACTCTAGATGGTTAATCATACAACATCCTTGAGTCTCAGTAATAAAAATATTAGGGTGCATGATATTGCAATTCAGGGCCTTAATAATCTTGATAAACAATGGAAATGAGACTGTAGGAACTAGATCACTTTAGATTTGACACGGCTCCTCTGTTTATTCCACAAGAGTTTATTTACTTCACTGGGGACAAGATGGACACTTTCTAATGACAGATTACCATGCAAGATCATGACATATCATGAGTCAAACCAAAAAAACCTGACATCGTCTTAAAGAGGCAAAATGTGGTCTCAAATGGAAAAACATATACACACACAACAACAACAACGTACTGTACTGTACAACATGCAACACACACCCCAGCACATACACACAAATAGACACACTGATTCTGCTGTGTCTGTTCTGCTTCAGCTGGGTGTTCGGTGGGTATGTCAACAGGAACCTCTTCCGTATGTGGTGTCTCAGCCTCTGCCATGGCAGGTCCACTATGTCTCCCACAGTCGGAAAGGAAGTCGTTCAGAGGAAGTGAAATTCCTCATTATTTTTTACTGTTATACTACATCACACAACTGCTTAAACCCCCCAAAAAATAAATCCACCAATGTTTCTTCAAGGATGAATCTCACCAGGAACATATAAAAGTCATATTTCACCCTTTAATAAAAAGGGGGAAAAAAAGAAAAGAAAAAAAAGTCTGCGTAATGAAAATTAAGCCTACATTTAGGATCATTATAATTGTACTATATAATGATAATGTGGTAAAAAATCAAGAATTAATAACGAATTAATAATTAGCATGACAATTATGCACACATGCCCTCAATTATAATTATTGTAATGTGAAAAAAATCTCATTCTCATTAATGCAAATCCAAAAAATAAACACATATATTTCAATTATATAAGTAATTATACATTACATAAATGTTTGTGTAATGACATTATTAGTTTTAATAAAACTAATAAATTAATTGATGCTATTTTATTTTATTATAAAAAAGTCCAGGCAGTCATGAGAATTATTATTATTATTATTTTTAGATTACTTCGATTAATGAGAAGTTATGGAAATATACTTAATATTCATGAAATAATGTTACAAACAGACAAACAACAATAACAATAATAATAATAAGCTTCTGTCTTTATGCTAATTAGTTCTTAATGAGATTCACCCTCAAAAGTTATACAGCAATAGTCTTGTTATTAAATTATCATTTAAAATACTGTACTTACAAAATATCTTTTTGAACGAGTAAAGGTCAGAGTGAAAGAGGGCAATGCTATGGGATCATTTTCCCGCCAAATATATTGCAGTCGTGGATAAAAAAATAACAAGCGTGAAACCAAAATTTAAAAACGCAAGTAAAATTATATTGCACAAAATTTTAATTGTATTTCGGTGGTATCCTTGAACACAGCGTCTTCTCAACATGATGTAAACACACTAACTAGCGGAAGTGTTTGTGGACAGGTCAGACGTATTTCGCGGGCAGGCGGGGATTATGCAAATGTTTTACCCAGTGACGTATACCAGTAACAGGCACAAGACTAGAAAATATGACGACTCATTAAGGCGATTCAGAATCGACTCTCTCTTTTGAGAGACAATATCTTTATTTATCCTGCACTTTTTTGATTAACAACTTTGCAGATTGTTTTCATTTAAGGATAGCTACTTTATAAACTGCAAAAGATATATTTTTCAAAAACCTAGACGACCTGCTCTTTAAAAATTAAAGCAAAGTTTTCAGAATAGCAAACAATAGTCACAGATCAATAAATAATAAGTGTAAATCAAAAATGTAATAACAGATTAAAAAAAAATAATAAGCACGAATCAAAACTTCAAACACATTTAAAATCATATTGCACAAAACTGAAATATTAATGCAAAATTATCCGAATTGCACGCAAAATCATGTTTTCCTTGGTTATATTTCTCTCTTTTTTGTGCTCTCAGACATTTTCTGCACAAAATTTTTATTTTTTTGTATGCTTTTGCTGTTTTTCCCTTTGCTCTTTATTCCACGTTTTTCATGTAAATCAGGGAGGGCTAAAACATCATCATTGGTCCACTAGTTTTAGATAGACAGCTCCTCCTCTAGCCAATCAGTCGAAGAGGGGCCTCATTACTGCCGGTGCTCAGTGTTCTGTTCACTTGTACAGGTGAAATGGACAACTGTCGGCTGGGAAACATCTTTCCATACAGGACACCGTTATATGTGTCTGTCTGTCACTGCTGTACGCCTACCTGGCGATCTGTTAATGTTAAATGAGTAAATCTGTAAATTAATTTTGAATTAATGTAATGTTTTTGCATTGAAAACGATAGTGCTAAAGAGTAAACAGTTACAGAGGCCAGGTGGATTTGATATGCACAATGATTTATTTGCGTGTTGTGTTTATTTGCACAGCTACATATATAATTGCCTAACACTATCACATTAATGTTTCAAATACATAAAGTTATACATAACAACAATATGAAAGTAAAACAGCCAGTAGGTGGCGGTAAGTTACTGTCTTTAGAATAAGACATTAAATCATTCATTCAAATGGCTGATTCATTCAGTGAGGAATAAAGCGAATCATTCAATGCGAAAGGCTGCTGTGTTGCTTGTAGAGGACACTGTTCTGCTGTGGCTTTCTTTGGACTCTTTGTCGAAATAGAGCAAAATGAGAAAATAGTTACTATTAATAGTAAACACTCAAAATATACTTGTTGTTATATTGATTAAGTTCAATAAACATTTGCAATGGTCCTGATATTAGGACAAACACTCTTCCTCGTGTTTTGCTTAACTGTATGTCATACAAGAAATTATAGTGTCATTCTTTACAAACAACATTTATTTTAAATGGTAAGCCTATAACTCATTTAAAACAAAACTAAAAACTGAACCTCCTGCTGGGCTCACATACCTCTCATTTCCATGAGTGAATCGTTAGACGCGGTGTAACATTTGGTTGATAAACTATTAGCCTATTTATTTTGTAAAGAAGGGTTTGTACTTCTCTCGTATCTGAATATCTACTTAAACAACATCCTTCACATATGCAATAAATTTGTTTGGAAAACACCACGGCATGGCGATGCTCGCGCTGACCAGCAAACCTACATATTGTACAAAAGACAAGTTAAATTGAGTCACCAATACATTTTGTATGTTTAGTTGTCTCATTTACTTTGATGATGAAGAGGCTGCGATGTAAAGTTTGCAATGCTAGAACTGATTATGTTCAAACACTTGGGTTACTCACATCAGCGAAAAGATGTGATAGATAGAGTAAGACATCATTCAAAATGATCTATTTTTTTTATTTGTGTACCTTCAAAATAACAGTGAAACATTGTACTTTTGTAAAATAAAGAAAACATACAAAATGCATTTGCCGTCTCTGTGAACCTCTTCCTGAAATGAAGAAAAACACAGCGATACTGTCTAATATACTTGTCACACAGAATGAGAAATATATTTATAGAAATCTTGAATTTACCTGTTTACGTTTTGCTTATTTGACATTAAATGCATTATATAAGTCACTTTGGAATATAAATCATAGCACATTCAGAAGATAAAAAATGCAACGTGTAGTCCGGAAAATACCGAATATCAAAATTTTTTGCAGGACCCCCTGGCTTTGGGTCACGACATGGACCCCAGTTTGAAAACCCCTGCTACTCTCCTAACAGTAATAACCATAACAAGACTTATAATCAGTCAGGTAAAGGCGAGCCAGGCACATCAGTCACTTCGCGAGGCCGGTGCATTTAGTGGCTGATCCCTTTCGCAATGTGACCGGAGGCGAATAAATACAGGTGAATATAACCGCGACAGGTTGCTAGGACGGCTCATTTAACGTTAACGTATCGCCGGGTAGGCGTACAGCAGTGACGGACAGACATATATAACGGTGTCCTGTATGGAAAATGTTTCCCAGCCGACAGTTGTCCATTTTCACCAGTACAAGTGAACAGAACACTGAGCACCGGCAGTAATGAGGTGCGTTGGAGTGACGTCACCGCCCCTCTTCGACTGATTGGATAGAGGAGGAGCTGTCAATCTAGAACTAGTGGACCAATGATGATGTTTTAGCTCTCCCTGATTTACATGAAACTCTAACCGCAACATTTGAAAAAAGAAGCGCAGAACGTGAAATAAAGAGCAAAGGGAAAAACAGCAAAAGCATACAAAAAAATAAAAAATTTGTGCAGAAAATGTCTGAGAGCACAAAAAACAGAAATATAACCAAGGAAAACATGATTTTGTGTGCAATTCGGATAATTTTGCATTAATATTTCAGTTTTGTGCAATATGATTTTAAATGTGTTTAAAGTTTTGATTCGTGCTTATTATTTTTTTTTAATGCGTTATTAAGAAAATAATACAGTCCCATGTTGACTGCATCATCCACAGAACTGTTTGCTCTTCAGGTAAACTGAAGAGGATCCAGCAAAGGTCCAGTAATGTCCTTCAGGTGGGCCAGCACCAGTTTTTCAAATGACTTCATGACCACAGACGTTAGAGCGACAAGTCTGTAATCATTAAGTACAGTGATTTGGTGTTTTTTTGGGGATCGGAATGATGGTGGACCATTTGAATTCATTTTTAAATTTTGTGCAATATAATTTTACTTGCGCTTTTCACGCTTTTTATTTTTGTATCCGCAACTGCAATACATTTGGCGGGAAAATTATCCCATACAATGCTGGTGGGTGGACAAAGAGATGAGAATAATAATGTGGCCCTTGTTCAATGCTTTGGTCTCATTTTGGGGTTTATTTCTTACTATTAGTATCCATGTGAACAGAACCTTATATTCCTAGCCACTGGATCATATTATCAGAATCAGAATCAGAATCAGAATGAGTTTTATTGCCAGGTATGTTTTCACATATGAGGAATTTGTTTTCATGACAGAAGCTTCCGCAGTGCAACAGAATGACAGCGACAGAACAAAAACACAGATAATAAAAGAAGAATAAAAAAAAATAGAACAAGTAAAAAAGGAATAACAATATATAAATTGACAATTGTATGTGCAGGTACAGGTATATTACAATAGACAGTTTTGTATGCACAGGTATATTATGTGCAAATTTGAGGTTTAGACTAAGTGTGTGTGTTAGATAAATAAGTGTATGAGTGTATAAATAGTGTTGTGGGTTCCACAGTTATTGTCAAGTGTTCATGAGATGGATTGCCTGAGGGAAGAAACTGTTCCTGTGTCTGACCATTCTGGTGCTCAGTGCTCTGTAGCATCGACCAGATGGCAACAGTTCAAAGAGGGAGTGTGCTGGATGTGAGGGGTCCAGAGTGATTTTGCTAGCCCTTTTGCTCACTCTGGATGAGTACTGTTCTTGAAGAGAAGGGAGGGTTGTTCCAATGATTTGCTCAGCAGTCCGGACTACCCTCTGTAGTCTTCTGAGGTCAGATTTGTTAGCTGAGCTGAACCAGACAGTTATAGAAACGAGAATGAATGAGCAAAACTCCCGCGGCGAGTAGAAAGGCTTACCGTTAATGAAAAGCGCTTCTAGATCTGAACAGCAAATCTTCTTTAACATGGTTACATCTGTACATCACCTTTCGTTGATGTAAAAGCATGTCTTGCCGCTGCGCAATTTTCTCGTTGATTCTGCATCGCGGTCCGCTCTGAACAGCTGAAAGCCCGGCAGATTTAACGCGTTGTCCGTTATGGCGTCATTCAGCCAGGTTTCCGTGAAACACAGAGCAGCAGAGTGTGAGAAATCCTTATTTGTCCGGGAGAGCAGAAGGAGTTCGTCCGTTTTGTTGGGTAGAGACAAACGTTCTACTGAAGTTTCGTAATATGACATACAGTTATTGTCAGACATTACTAGGTGCCGTTTAAGGCCAATGCACACAGATATTCCCTCTCAGAATATCTAGGCTTGGACATCCCTCAGGTGCTTGTAATCCAATGGAGAAGGATTTGTGTCTTAATGTATTACGGTCTATAAAAGAGAAGTCTGTATATATGTCCTGAGCTTCTGCTTAAACAGCATGCCTGTTTCACACTGCCACCTAATAGATTGACAAATCTGTGCTTAAAGCAAGACACTATAGGAAAACAGTAAAACATTTTAAAGAGCAGGTCATATGGTATTTTAAAGTGTCCTAATATTGTGTTGGAGTCCCCTACAACAGGTTTAAATGCATCTAAGGTCAGAAAACATTGTAATTTTCTCAGAATATACATTTAATATTAGAGTCATTTGCCAATGATTTCGAAACGATTTGTTCCAAGCAAGTTCGGAGCAAACCCCTCCCTTCCATAAGCCTACTCTGCTCTGATGACAAAGCACCTTTACATAAAAACAATAATATAGTGCTCCAATCCGTTCTTAAAATAATGACTTCAAATACAAAAACTCTTATGCAAGCGAATCGTGGCCAAATCTAAAGTTTAGCTGCTAAACTGTGAACACTTAAAAACAATAATGGTGGATACGTTAGCCGAGTGCTAACGTGGCTAACTGATGAAACAATACAGTTTGTAAACCAAAATATGTCTAAGATAAAAGCCAAGATTAGAAAAGCAGTCCTGGTAAAATGACATGCACACAACGAAAGGTTTGAATTGTATTTCTGTGGTATCCTTGAACACAGCGTCTTCTCAACATGATGTAAACACACTAACAAGCGGAAGTGTTTGTGGGCAGGTTAGACTCTGTTCGTATTTGGTGGGCAGGCGGGGATTATGCAAATGTGTTACCCAGTGACGTATACCAGTAACAGGCAAAAGAAAATATGACGACTCCTTAAAATACTTTATATATTTTTAATATGCTCAGACAGCTATAAATAAGCCATTTGTAGGTTCATTTATCAGAAAAGTGTGATCATTGTGGTGCTACCAAAACATTGTTTTGTTTATTTGAGCATTCTGACAAGCCTGGCATAGCAACAGTGCTTGAACCAATCATGTGAGTTTGTGGGCGGGGCTATCTATTTTTCAACCAATAGTAGATGGGAGAACGTTTGGGTTTGAAACCTGTTACAGTTCCACTTGGTAATGCCATTGCATAGAAAATAGGCCTACACACTTTAAGTGGATAATTCTGTCCATAATGAAAATGATGTACTCACCCTCATATTGTTCCAGACCTGAATAACTAATTTCCTTTCTGGAACACAAAAGAAGACTTTTTGGAAGGACATTTTATGTCAGTGGTTATTTTCTGTCCTCTGACCTGCCATCATTCACTTAAAATGGCATATTTGAATGCATGTAAACTTTATTGTGGGGGGAATTATTTAATCGCACAGTGATTTATAGTTGGAATATATTGTTTTATATATTTTTTTTCACTGTAAGAATACTGAAGCTAGAATATTACGAAAATATTTATGACACGTGGGTGAGTAAATGATGAGAATTTTCATTTTTGCGTGAACAATGCTTTTAACGATTCAGAAATTCACACCATCTCAAAAATGCTTTTACACTTTGCTTTTGCGTCACTACTTTGAGGTCCACGAAAGTGTCAGTGCATCCTTCTGTCCTTGAACGCACAAAAGCATCAGCCATGACAGTCTTATCACACGTGTCGCCTCTCTGTCTTTCCCACCGGAATGTGCGAGACATGGTGGCACAGACAGATCACACAGGTGTGAGACGTCTCTGCCGGGACATTCCACACATGCCTCTGCAGCGGGTTACTGCGCGACTCAGTGTGTTCATGCCGCTGGGGTCATGTCATGGTCATTATGGGCACTCTACTCTGTGCACTGGCAATTATTTTTACTCAAATGGAACATGACTATTTCAGAAAAATTCAATATAATAAGAAATGTGCATGAAAGTGTCTGATAGTATTTCTACTTTTAATTGATCGATTTCTCTTCAAAGGCACTGTATGACCCGTAAATAAATATTTCAAAGAACTGTGTGGCCCTTACATAACATTACATTTGATAGGAAAGTTTGATCTTGAACTGGAGATCAAATAGTTTCCTTAATGTCATATTGGGTGGCATCTGGTAATGGTAAACATATATCTATTTTGATCGACATGCTAAAGCACAAAACCCATACGGACATTAGAACTGGTGTACAAAAGAGCTTAAAAGCTAATGCTAAGAAAGTACACCAATGTCATAACCTTATTAAATTATTAATTGTAAACCATTAGCAGCCTGATTTGACCGTTTTGACTGTTCCAGCATATGCCAAAAGGAAAGCAGCTTTGCTCTCTTTAGTACTAAGGAGACTTTTACATGGGATTGTCCCCGTAATCAGTGTTCTGTGATATGCTTTGGATAAAATTGTCTGCTAAATGACTACCTTTACACGCTCTACTCTTAAGAAATTTAAGAATTCAAATGGAAATTAATTCATATTTAATGAAATATTAATGTAAACTCAGATAAAAAGGTACATAAGCTGTCACTAGGGTGGTACCATTTCATAAGGTACCAATATATATAATTCAAGTACTAATAAGGTATTAATATGCATTATTCAGGGGTAAAAAAGGTACACAAGTGCAGCTTTCGAGAAGGTAGCCTACTCCCAGTTAACATTTTGAACGTGGCTTTTACCAGTGTTCAGATTGATAAAATACTACCTCATATTTAAACATAATTAATGGCTGCATATTTGAACATGACATTTCAGAATACTTGTAATGCAAAACAGTTCTCATAATGTACTGTAGTTAATAAACTGAAGGAAATATGGTGATATCTATTAGTTAAAGAGCAGGTCATATGGGTTTTTGAAAAATATCTCTTTTGCAGTTTATAATGTAGCTATCCTTAAATGAAAACAATCTGCAAAGTTGTTAATCAAAAAAGTGCATGATAAATAAAGATATTGTCTCTCAAAAGAGAGAGTTGATTCTGAATCGCCTTAACAATTAAAACTTTTTTTGGTCTGTTTTACAGTTTGAGGGCCAGAGAAGGAACAGCATAGGCGTTTAAAGAAAGAGTAAGTATGAACATATCTGATATTGTATTCTGAAACAAAAGCTGTACAATAAAATAAAATATTTTATCATTGTTACATATATAAAATCATAAACTATTCTGTAAAGTATTCTCTAATTCTCAAAATATGATCTAGTTTTAATCACTCCCTTGTTTTTTAGACTCTTCTTCCAGTAATGGACACACCAAAACTTCTGCTGACAAGGCAGCGGCTACAATTCAGAACCAGTACAGGAAGTACCAGCAAAATAAGCAGAAAGGCCACAAATTAAAGCTAAACTGTTAGCTTTTGAAGTGTCCATTTCACGCTCATCAAACCCAGTATTCTCCTCTCTGAACCCTATTACCCCAACAACTGTCCACATGCAAACCTGGTCTCCATCAATGCTAAAGGACAGCACCTGTGAGCGGCACAGTCACATATTCTGATTTACAGATAGCTGACACCTGCATGAAAACACATGTTCACACAATGACAAACATTTCAGACCATTTGCTGATAACGGACGCCGCAAACTTCAGACACATAAACACTCAGATCTTTATGATAAATAAGGACGATATGTACACAAAACATGCAGACTACATACAAAATAAAATATAGCAAAATATTACAGGAATCTACTCCACACATTTCTCTTTCTCAATGCCCTCTGAGTTTTTGTCAGATTTAACTCAATTCTGAGGACAACTGTGTCCTCAAAATATAGTTAAATAAACCCCGCCCCCCTCCCATAATTATTTTAGGTTAATCCACATTGTGTAACAATGAATATACTCTCATTGTAACATTTATATGTTACATACTACGTGGGTATGTGCCTAGGTGAGGAAGCGCAATGTGAAAAATACATATCTGTCATTTCAAAGCCTGCAGAGAGCAGTGTGTATTTGTCAACTGATAAGGTATGAGTGATTTTTATACACTCACTGCCATGGCAACGTACAATCACATTCAATAAAGATTTTATTTAAGTCCCACGTTCTTGCTCCAAGATGTAATGTCATTCTTCTCTCTGCTGGTGAGCTAGTGCTAGTGAAAGGCTCAAAAATCAGTTGCCTACAAATCCTGAATAGAGAATTTGAAAATATAAACAATAAGTTCTGAATGTGTAGTTGCAAGTAAGACATATTAAACCTTCTTTCAAGTAAATAAGGGTTTGCAGGACTGCTGACTTTCGGTGTTACGAATATGGCCGACGAGTGAACGCTTCCATACTTTTGATTTTATATCCGCAACCCCCATTATTACGCATGGATGACTATTAATAGAAACTGGAATAGGCACCAACACCGTATACACGCAGTTTGGAAGATGGATGGATGTATGGATGACTATGTCTTCATTGGCACTGGTAAGGTAACCAAACAGCTATTGCTTTATTGTATTATTGACGCTCCCTCTAGATGTCAGTATGAGTTCAAGGCGAGTTTTAATGAACAAAAATTACAAAGTGTACCTTAGTGCACTACATAAATGCAAACTATGGAGCAAATTTTGTGCCAATATTCATCAAACTAATCTAGCGTTTTGCAAATAAACACAATCTGCTTTGCAAAGAAAAACTCGACTTTCAAACAAACGCAAAGTGATTAGCTAATACAAAACTCTATTTGCGAGAGAATGCAGAGGTATGGACAAATGTATGTATTGTGTGTTACTGTGAGATTCATTTGCCTTTTTATGAGGAAACTTGGCTTGATTTTCTCACAAATGCTTGCAGGCAGATTTTCTCACAAATGCAATTGAGAAACTTCCTTTTCCAAAAACAGTAGATGGCGCTGCCGGTCAATATACGCTAGTCTCCCGAGACCCGGAACACCTGTTTACCTTTTCAGAGAATACAGCAGACCAACATGAGTGGGGAACAGGTGAGTTTCTGTCTTACTATATCTATAATTAACCATTTGGATGTTTTCACAAAGCGACCCTACTACAATGTCAATGAAATTCACAATAAGTGCTGTAAAGTTGTAACATGATTGATTAGTTCAACAATAAGTAGTGACATGGCTAAACATTTAACAAGGCCAGTGCTTCTCAAAGTCCGGACTCTGGAGGGAATTCAATCCGGACCCGCCTCCATTTGCAAGTCTGTGGGAAACACTGTTGTCTGTCAACAAACATAAACAAAAAGCATGCTTCAGAACTGTTTTGAGAAGGTGCTTAAGTTTTGAGCCATGTATTATTACTCTGAATTAGGCTATTACTACTACTACTATTACCATCTTGTGCCCCGCAATAATCATTTACTCAAACTGTCTTTAATGAGATAAAGGGGGGAAAAAGAAAATGGCCGAACAAATCGGCCAAAAAGTCAGCATCATATATCGGCCATCAGCTGCCCTGATTTCTAAATATCTGCACCGGCCAGAGAAAAACCCTTGTCACAATAACAATAACATGACATCAATAAGAAGATGCCGATCACGGAAACTAATAGCAGAGTTAGGTAAGAATCTATTCGTATTGCAGTTTTCTCGATTGTTAACATATAACTGATTTTAGTTGCCACTTTTTTTCCAAACAATTAATTCCGTTTTCAAAACAAAGACACATTTCTCTTTGTGTGTAAAGTTTTGAAAAAAAAAGAGGCAACGTTCTGTAAATGTGTGTAAGCAGTTGAAAAAACCTCTAATAACTAGATTGAAATGTTTGAAAGACAAATTTATGCTGGCTTGTCTTAAAGTCTTGTTTAAAAAACATAAATGGTTTGGTCAGTTAGATGTTCTAGATGTTTGCTAAAGTGTTGCTAGTTGGTTGCTAGAATATTCTGTGTGGTTACTAGTCTCTTGCTATTCAGTTGCTGGGGTGTTGGTAAATTTTCGATCATGTTACTAAAACAGTGTGTTTTTATGTAAGCAGAGCATGCAGGGATTTCCAGAGGAACAAAAGACACATTCAGAACCGTGTCGCTGGTGTTCGATTCCTGGAAACAGCCTGAGACAAAAGCGTAATATTTTTCTATAAAGGGGTAAACGAGTTTTCAGCTGGTCCTCTGATCTTTCTACGCTTCATGAGGACGTGGCCCTGAAGCCATCACAACCTCGCTGTGTTCATGGGAACAGTTGGATGTCCTGCTTCATTTCTGTGTGTTACAGAGAGAACTGTGTGTTGTGTTTTACAAAAAGTGTTTTATGAAATTGAAAACTGACTCAAAGGCTGAGAATCAGTGTATGGTTTAGTGTCAGCTTTCAGAAACTTTGTGACAAAATCTTCTCTTGTCACACAGTTTCTGAAAGCTGACACTCAAACAGCAGAAGCACACACCAAATCTACAAAACCATACACTAATTCTGTCTTTGACTCAGTTTTCAATTTCATAAAACACTTTTTGCAAAACACAACACACAATTCTCTATGTAACACACAAAACTCTAACAGGAATTATTATTATGGCAAAGGTGTTTGCAAATGTTTGCTTTTGAGATGTGTTTGTGATATTTTGAATGCAGTGCTTCATTTTGCAAGAGATGTGAAGCATTTTGCATTTTGGTTGTGCAATTCTTGGATTTGTGTGTAAAGTTTTGAAAAAAAAAGAGGCAACGTTCTGTAAATGTGTGTAAGCAGTTGAAAAAACCTCTAATAACTAGATTGAAATGTTTGAAAGACAAATGTATGCTGGCTTGTCTTAAAGTCTTGTTTAAAAATGTAAATGGTTTGGTCAGTTAGATGTTATAGATGTTTGCTAAAGGGTTGCTAGGATATTCTGGGTGGTTGCTAGGCTCTTGCTATGCAGTTGCTGGGGTGTTGCTAGAGTATATGGTTGATTGAGTTTGTTCTGAGTGACATTCTCACCTCTGTTAATAACAGAAAATCAAACATTGTTTTCAAAACTGATCCAGTTTCAGTGCTTTGATATTATTGTATTTCTTTCTAATGTTAGGATATTCTAAAGTTTCTGTTGCTCTTAAACTTGCACTAAAACGTGATTTATACCATCTAAGTAGCCTTTGTAATTTTAATAGAACTGCATGTCTTCTTTGGTGATACAATCTCAGAAACATTTATAACCTGTTGAAGATTTTATGTTGTGTATTGACTTGGTGCCATGATGGATATTGAAATGTTGTTATTTATTTTTAATTTGAAACAGTATAGATGATTACTTAATGGTAATACAATATTTGTGAACACAACTGTGTATGTTAGACCATAAATCCCCAAATCAGGAGACCAAGAAACTGCTATAGTACTGTATACTGTAATGCAATTTGGCAGAATGTGCAGAGGATGCTAAATTTACTTTTTTTTATTTAATTTTTTACTGTACTGTATTGTGGTGCATACCAAGTTCATACAATTCTTTGGTATTTGAACTTTGGTGCCATGATGGATATTGAAATGTTGTTATTTATTTTTAATTTGAAACAGTATAGATGATTACTTAATGGTATTTGTGAACACAACTGCGTAGGTCAGACCATAAATCCCCAAAAACTATGCATGGGGGCTTGCTTTGGTGTTGCCACCCCTCATAGACCCCATGCCACCCCTTTGCCACCCTAAAAAATATTTTCTAGATCCGCCCCCGAAACCAACTTTAATTTTCATAAGGGATATAATAGTTTATTATTATATTTATGTTTATATATATATCATAGTTTATATGCATGCCTTGTACAACTTTTAAAACTAAAAGTGGCCTGTGAGGAGATATTTAATATTTCAACTAATATTTTACACTGAATTTGTAAAAGACTTTTCAGATTTTGAAAAATAATTTTTGAAAAGAATTTGTAAATTTGTACAGATTTTAGTCTGACAATAGCCTGTTTGGAAAAATCCAACAAATTTTTTTTAGCTTTTTATATATAGCCGAGCAACAAGTTGAAGTTAACAACTCATGAAGTTAAGAATAAAAGGCTACTGTCAGGAATTATATTAGTGGCTTTTCAAAATGCAAACGTTCGTCATCTGAGTCACTCCGAGAAGAGTCCTCACTGTCCAGAGTGTGTCTTCACCCATGTAGCGCGCCATCATCCAACGTGCAGAAAAATAAAGTAGGCTAAATTCTATGATGAAGCTTGTCGTTTTGATGCCATTTTTCGGGGGCATCTACATGTTTACCTGGCTGACCTCAGATCATTAACATGTGAACAGAGCGCTCGGTGTGAGGCGTGATCACATTAGTGACAATGAGGTGAGACAGGAGAAACTGTACCTCTCCTTACTTTCATACGGATTATATAATCAGAGAATATTTGTTTTCAATTTGAATTGGTTTATTTAAAGGTAGACATTTCAAGCTTTCTATACATATATGTATTATGTATGTGAGGCACATATTCACTGAGA